GGTCAGGGGGAGGGTCATGGTTGGGCTGGAGGGGCTGCAAGGGCTTTTCCAACCTCAGTGGTTCTGGGATTCTGTAGCAGCTCTGCTCCCTGCCCAGAGCTTCCCCCCTGCCCCTAATCCCCCACTTGTTACCGTGTCTTGGTCCCAGAAGGGTTACAGCAGCTCAGGGTGACAAGCAGAGGTGGGGGCAATGCCGGCATGCTGGTCCCCAGTGTGTTCCCTCCACCCCAACTGCTTTTCCCTGACTCCCTGCAGCAGATTTCCTGGCGCTGGCAGTGGGGCAGAAGTGGGACCGCCTGCGGCTCACCTGCAGCCAGCCCTTCAGCAAGCACAGCCAGTTCGGGCTGTCCTTCATCCGTGTGCGCACGCCGCTGGACGCCCAGCAGCCCCAGCCCCCCCAGCAAGGCCTGGTAGGTGCCTCTCGCCGCCTCCTCGTGCCCCATGGTGAGGCCTGGAGGCTCCTCCCCGGCTGAACCAGCGGCTGTGCCCGGGGTGGGGGGCACAGAGCACCGGTCTCCATTCCCTGAGGCGCTTCCCTTGTCCCCCAGGAGGATGCTGAGCCCGTGGACAGCCCCTGGCACTCCAGCCCTGCCATTTGCCGGACCTTCTTTCCCAAATCTCCCTCGTAAGTAGCCGGGCCTGGTCCCCTCCGTGCGCAGCCAGGTTTGGGGTGTCGCCTCCAAGCCCCCAGGTGCCTGGAGCCCCGGTTTTGGGGAGATGTTTGACAGTTCCTCTGTGTCTGCAGGAGCTCGAGGGAGGAGGAGCAGCTCAAGTGCCACCTGCAGCAGCTGGAGCCGGGTGCCCAGAGCCCAGCTCGTCTCAGCCGCCCGGCCCGCATGGTGCTGTCGGCGGCACGGAGCCGGGCGTCGAGACCCAAAACCGGCACAGCCACCCCGGGCGGTGACACGGAGCTGCCGGTCGAGGATCCGGGAGGCCCCGCAGTGCCAGGTGAGCCAGAGCTGCCCACATAGGGCTTGTTTCAGCACAGAGAGCCTTTGTGCCCCCACAAACCATCCAAAGGGGTCTTACACTGCTGAGGGATCCCACCTGGGGAAGGCTGGGGTGAACCCTCAGCTGCTGGGAGCTCCCCATGCCCGCAGGGATCCCGTTTCCCCCTTGCTGCTGGCAGCAGGCCGTGTCCTGGCTGGGGTGGTCGTCCTTGGGGCATGTCCCCCTCCTTGCTGGCCTGAGGGAATCACAATGGAGGAGGTAACGGTCATTTTGTGTCACCTGGGGTCCTTTTGCTGCCCGCAAAGGCTCAGTTCTCACTCCCTTCCCTTCCGCTGGGAGATCAGGTGCTGCTGAGCGGAGATGGGGGGGATCATGACTTGTCCCCTGCTCCCCAGGACCTGCGCAGGATGTCCCTGCAGCCCCCCCCAGAGCCCGTCGGCAGCCGAAGAGCATGCAGAGAGCTCCCAGCCCTGCGGGCAGGTAATCCCCGGGCTCCTCCTGCCCTCACCCCGCTGATTCCTCCACTTGGAGCCTTTCCCAGCCCGTTCCCCACTCCCTTTGGGTGCAGATCCGGCACTTCGCTGGGATCCTTCGCTCCTTTTAGGGTGGGGGGAGCAGGATGCAGTGCAGGGGTGAGCCCCAACCTTACAGCCCCTCTTGGAACCCCCTCCCCCAGGGCTGGAGGAAGAGCCAAGGCCTGCAGGCAGCGTGAGGGACGGGGCAGGAGCAGGGACAGCGGAGGGGCCACGGGCGTCTGCCCCATCTGCTCAGGTAAGAAGGAGGGGGGGGTTGTGTGTGTGTTGCCCCCTCCCTGCCCGAAATGGCCGCCCTGTAACGGGGAGCG